GCCCCCCTGCTTCACCCCCACCAGCTCCTCCGCCTGCAGCGGCGCGTTGAAGCACAGCACCTGGAACGCGTTCAGCTCGCCGTCGTTCAGCACGCCGTCCTGCGGGGGCGGGCAGTGGGTGGGGGGGTGCGCGGGGTGGAGGTGGGGGGTGAGGAGGGAGGGAGGGAGGAGGGAGGGGCAGAGGAGGGAGGGCAGGGACGGCAGCCAGACACCTGCCCCGACTGCCACGCCACCACACACACACATGGGCGCCGCCGCGCGACCCGCGCAATCGCAGCGCACGCAGCGCACGCAGCCGCCGCTCGCCTTGTCCTTGTCGCAGAGCAGGAAGATGCGCTTGAGGGCCTTGGCGCACAGCGGGCGCAGCTTCTGGCTCTCGGGCTCGTACAGCGGCGCCATGGGGTGCACCACTGCAGGGCAGGGGGTCAGGGGGGCCCGAGCAGGAGGGCAGCCAGGGTGAGGGCTGGGAGCGTTGGGCGGGGCAGGTGACCGGCAGGCAGACCCCTGGCTCCACCCTTACCTGGCCCGGCAGCTCTCCCGTACCCTCACTGGTGGCAGTGGCGGCGGCCGCCACCACCACCACCACCTCACCGCAACCACCACCACCACCACCACCGCCGCCACCTCATGCCTGCACCTGGCAGGCCCCCACGGCACCCCACAGCCGCTCTCCAGCAGCCACCATCCAGCAGCACCAGCAGGGCCCGACCTCCCAGCACACCCACCGGCCTTGAGCGCGTAGTAGAACACCTCCCCCACAAACTGCAGCTTCTTGGCGCTGCACTCCATGCACGTCTCTATCTGCGGGTACGCCTTCACGATGGGCAGTACAGCCTGCGAGGCAGGGCAGGGCGGGGCGGGGCCGGGAGGGCAGCAGGCAGGCGAGCAGGGATGAAGGGCTGGGCAGCAGACGACACTGGACGCTGCCGCTGGTGCCGCCAGCGCAGCATGTGGCGAAGGCAGGGAGTAGGGCTTGCTGCCCTGCTGCCAGCAGCCCAGCCAACGCAGCACGCTGGCAGCGGCGCGGCCCTGCCCTCTGCGCGCCAGCACTGCTGGCCCCGCCGCTGCCCGAGCGGCCGCCGCCGCCGCCGCCGCCCCGCGCACCTCCTGCAGGCCTCTGTCGGCCACCGGGTTGGGCGTGCGCACGTCGCTCTTGCACCCCACCAGCATGACCGGCACGTGCACCCCCAGGCGCCGCAGCTCTGGCATCCAGTAGGACGAGATGCGGCGCAGCGTGCCGGGGCGGTCGGCCGAGAAGCAGAGGACGATGACCGAGGCCTCCTGGCACGACAGCTCCAGCGACTGCTTGTCCTCTGGGCGGGAGGAGGTGTCGGTGATGACCACGGGCACGCCCTCGGGGGTGGTGTCGGCGGGCAGCCGCGCCGGCGGCAGCACCGGCGGCGGGTGGTCGGGGAACGTCTCAGTGGCGGCTGCGGTGATGAGCGACGTCTTGCCCACGCCCTCATCGCCCACCACGCAGATGTGCACGGTGTTTGGGCCTCCCAGGCTGGCCATCTGGCCGTCTATGCAGCGAGAGCAAGGGGTGTGCTCGGGGGCGCACGTCTCCTGCAGGGGAGGGGCCTCCAGGGGCGGCTGGCGCGCAGCTGGCGAGGGGTGAGCAGCAACAATGACGCAACCTCTTGCCCTCGCTCTCCTTCGCGTCTCCAGCCACGTCGGCCCCTCCCACCCCGGCTGGCTCAAAACCTAAGGCGCCCACCGCTCCACATACCGCCAGGATCGCCCTGCACTCCCCACGCACACCCCAGATAGTGACAACGTCTCAGTCGATCGCCGAGATGCTGCGTGCCGCCACCCGCCTGGCCCCCCGGCTGGCCCCCCGCGCCGAGGCGGCCCTCGGGACACGCGGCATGAGCTTGGCAGGCATGAAGGGTGAGTGAGGACTCCGGCAGTGCGGGGTGGAGGCTGCAAGCCCTGCAGTGTCGCTCATCGCCCTGCCCTCTCTCCTGCAGGCTACGACGACAAGGAGGCGGCCGAGGAGGTGAGCGGACCGTGTCGCCCAGCCTGCAGCAGGGGGTTCAGCCTCGCCGCCTCTCCCCGCCGCTGCCGCCACCGCCAGGCTGCGGAGCTCACGTGCCCCCTGCCCGTGTGCCTTCCTGCTCCGCATGCCGCAGATGCTGTTCTTCAAGAAGGTGGGAGGGGGGGCCGCATGCCGCGAACGCCGCCAGCACGACAGTTGCTGAGTGCACCGCCGGGCCGCCGGCACCAGCAACTCGTCTGCCGCGCTGCAGCCATTGGGGAGCTGGGGGATTGGATGCTGTTGGAGGAGAGCATGCCGTACAGCCTGCGGTGCCATCTGGACCGACTACTGGCAGTGCGGGCTGCTGACCTCGGCATCACTCTAATCCCCTAGCTCGAGTGGCCTGCAGCAGCGAGCAGCCACCCCACATGGCCGCTGGTTTGCCCCACCCTTGGTGCTGCTTGTCCGGGCAGCGTTCTCACCGCCATGCATGCATGCTTGGTAACTTGTGTGCTGCAGGAGGATGAGCGCCTGCTGCGCCGGCTGCTTTCTAAGGTCCGCAAGTCGGCAGAGCAGGTGAGGCTGATCTGGCTGGTTGGGCAGGCCTGGGCAGGCAGCACCTGCGATGCTGCACTGGCGAGCACAGGGATGCTGGTGTGCTGTCAAAAGCCTTTACCAGCTCCGAGCACTGCTAGTTGTGCTCACCGTGTGGCTTCCTGGGTAGCCCGCCCCATCTGCCAACCGCGCTGAGCGCTGCTGGCGGCTGGCTGCGTGCGTCCCTGAGCCGCAGCATGACCAGCATGCCGCGGTGGGCGCCATTGAGGCGGACAAGTCCTCCCTCAAGGCGATTGTGGGCAAGTATAACATCAGCGACGCCGACATGCAGGGTGAGCGGTACAGCGGTGTACTGAGCCGCGGACATCCCAAGGCGGGCAGCTGCGTGCGTGTGTCGTGAATGCCGTGACCCGCAATGGCAGCCTGGGCGCTGCCTGGCTGCTACGTGCGTGAGAAGGCGCGCCGCCGGCCGGCGGAGCGCGTCTGACGTTGCGCTGCGTGCCCCGCCCCGGCTGCAGCGCTGCTGGAGTGGAAGCACGACCAGCACCACTGAGCCGCCGCGGTGGGGCGCAGCCTGGCCCGGAGAGGGCGCAGCCCGGGAGCGCCCCGGCATGGCGCCATCGGCGCTGAAGCGCTGGCGCCGCCTGCTGGCAGCCCCGTGCTCCCACGCCGTTGCCACGCCCCTGCGGTGCTGAGCACATGCTCGACGTGGCGGCTGGCCCGCCTCTATAGTAAAGCCTGAAGCGGCGCGCTCGGCAGCGCTGACGCGCCGCCTCCGCCCCGCCTCCTCCGCCTTTGTACTGCCGCACAGTTTGTATTCCTGTCCATGTCCTTTCACCCCCCCCCCCTGCTTCTTTGCTCGCCGCCAATTGCCTACTGCCATCTGCTTTGCTCAGCACATGTGCCATGGGAGCAAATGCTGTAATAGCCCCTATGCATCAGAGAGGCGTGTGATGGGGGGCGAGCAGCTGCGCGAGAAGGGCGTGGGAGAGATTTGCTTGGCGCGCAGCTGCACGGCAGCCGCATGGCAGCTGTGGCCACATAAGCAGCAAGGATCTCCAGATGTCTAGCCTCCGGGCCCTCTGCTCCTCCTGCATATCAATTCCCTTTGCACTTGAGAGCCCTCTCCCAGCATCCGACACCAAGTTGCAACATGATGCTCTCCTGCGCCACCAAGCCCATGGGCACCAGCCCCAGGCCGGCCTTCCGCCCAGCCAGCACGCACAGGCCACGTGCCAGGGCCGTGCTGGTCGTTAACTCTGCCCAGCGGCCGTCCAAGGCAGCCAGGGCCGGCGCAGCTCTGGCGGGCGCGGCGGCCGCGGCGGCGCTGCTGCTGGGCGCGCCAGGTGGGGGACTTTTAGAGAGTGCTGCTGCCTGTGTGCGGATCTGGCCAGCCGCGGCGCGACATTCTGTGGGCACTTGCTCCACAGATGCTGGCACTGAGCCGCAGCCGCTATGCGCTGCCGTGTGTGCTCCCACAGGCGCGGGCCTGGCAGCCGATCGCGGCGCAGGTGCCACCGTCATCCCGCCCGAGGCCTCCGACGTCCCCGCCCGCCCGCTCGTGCCCGTGCCGCCCTTCTGCCCCGAGGCGCCCTGCCCAGATGAGGAGCAGGGCGTTGACGCCAACCAGGCGAGTGCTAGCGCGCAGCTGGGCGCTTGTCAGCACGTTGTGTGTGTGTGTGTGTGAGTGTGTGTGTGTGTGTGCGCGCGCGCGCGCTGCGCTCAGCGACCTGCTCTGCCCGCCTGGCCCGCTGCAGGGCGTGAGGAACCTGAAGGATGAGCTGAAGAGCCGGCTGGATGCGCTGGCGGGCAACCTCGGGGGCTCGGCAGGGCGCGCCGGCGGCGCAGTGCAGGAGCGCCCGGAGCAGGCTGCTGGCGCAGCCAAGCGCGCCGCCGGCGCCGCCGCCGAGAGCACCAAGCAGGGCGCGGGCGCTGCCGCGGGGCGCGCCGCCGACGCGGCTGCCGCCGCCAAGGGTGCGGCCGCGGAGGGCGCGGCCAGGGCTGGGGACGCGGTGCAGGGCACGGGGGAGCGGGCTGCCGGCAAGGCGGCTGGCGCCAAGGGAGGGGTGGTGGAGGGCGCCAAGTCGCTGCTCCAGCGTGGCGCCAGCGGGGCGCGCGATGCCGCCGACCAGGCCGCCGACCAGGCTGCAGACGCGGCGGAGGCCACCAAGCAGGGCGCTCGCAGCCTCAAGGTGAGCCGCGGCGCTGCCAGTGCCTTTCTACCCCCGCCCGCAGCTGCCCCGGGCTGCTTGCCTCTGCATGCCTCCCGCCCTGCGCTCTGCTCCCCGGCCCAGCTGCCTGTGCTGCGCCGTTGCCCCAGCAAGCACCCTGCCCTGCGCCTCTTCTACCGACAGCCCTGCCCCTGCTGCGGCGCATGCCAGCCGTCTCTGAGCCTGCCGGTCCTGCTGCTTGCCCGCCGCCTGCGTCCCTGTACTGCAGGAGGGCGCCCAGTCTGCGGCGGAGCAGGCGGGGTCTGCCATCAAGGCCGCCCCCGGCAAGCTGGCTGGCGAGGCGGAGCGCAGGGCCCGAGAGCTGGATGACCAGCCGCCCCCCAGCACCGCCAGCGAGGCAGCCACCGCCTGGGCTCGGGATCAGGGCCTGCTGGGTGGCGGCGACAAGGCGCAGGCACCCTCTGCCGATCGTGGGGAGCGCTGGCTGCGCTGATCTGGCTGCGCTGAGCTGGCCGTGCTAAGCGGCGCGCGGCTGGCAGCGGCGCGGGCAGGGCTGCTGGTTGCCCGTCCCGAGCTCGCAGGAGCCGCCATGCGCCTGGAGATAACACAGTTTTGAGAGACTGCCTTTGCGAACACAGCAGATCGGATTCTTGCAGGCCTTGTTGATTCTAATTGATTGAATTGTGAGAGAGGTATGTGCATGCGGCACAGGATGATGTGAAACAAACGCCGCCGCTCAGCAGTCAGAACAGTGGGGGCCCAGCTTCCGTCAACGACCAGGGCAGGAAGAGGGCAAGCCAACCAGCAGGGGCAGAGAAGGCAACCAGCACAGGGCTGGTGAAAAACGGGGCCCATGCAGTATAAAACGGGGTCTATGTTGCAAGCTAGTTCTTGCTTTACCAGACTTTAAGCCCACACAAGCACAAGCAAGCCCATGCATTATCGAACTGGCAGCACGGTGGAACTGCCACAGGGACCCAAACAGGCTCGAGGATGGCTGGTCAGCGCAGACAGGACCAGATGGTTCCTTCTTCTCTACATTGAGGCACTATTGCGGCGCGGTGCTGGTGGGACAGGGGGACAGGACAGTGCTGGGCAGGGGCCGCCTCCCGGGCGTGGGCGCCAGGCAGGCTTTGGGCGCCCGCGCTCCCCAGCGCCTGCTGTCGCTCACGCCAGGGCGTACCCAGCCAGCTGCTTCTGGTGGTGGAACGCCTGCTGGTGCTGCATCGTGCAGGGGGAGGCCAGCCTGGGAGCGCTTCGGCAAGCGCTGAAGCGCTGACGCCGCCTGCCAGCAGCCCCAGGCTCCCACGCCATTGCCACGCCCTGCGGTGCTGTGCACTTTTCGATGTGGCAGCTCGCCCGCCTCTATAGTAAAGCCTGAAGCGGCACGCTCGGCGGCGCTGAAACGCAGCCTCCGCCCGGCCTCCTCCGCCTTTGTGATGCCGCACAGTTTGTATTCCCGTCCATGTCCTTCACCCGCCTTGCTTCTTTGCTCGCCGCCAATTCCCTACTGCCATCTGCTTTGCTCAGCGCACGTGCCGTGGGAGCGGTGCAATAAGCGCCCATGCATCAGAGAGGCGTGTGATGGGTAGCGAGCAGCTGTGTGCCCAACCCTAAAGCCAGCTGCTCACCGCCCAAACGCGTTGGAGATATTTGCTTTGGCGCGTATGCTCAGCGGCAGCGGCAACGGCAGCTGGGCCACATAATGCTTATGCAGCAGGGACCCTTCATGGCTCTCCGCCCTCCTGCTGCATCAATTCCCTTTGCACTTGAGTGTGGGCTGTAAACCTTCAGAGCAGGTTTACAACCCACACTGAGGCGGCGGGCATTCGGGCATCTGGCCAGGCGGGGTTCCGGCCAGGGTACGGTTGCCGTGACCAGCAGCTTGCACTGCGAGCCATCATTGAGCGGCAGCGGGCGCGTGGGCAGCCGTTGTATGCCTGCTATGTGGACTTCAAGCAGGCCTTTGATAGGGTCCCGCGGCATCTGCTGTGGCAGAAGCTGGAGAGCGCCGGCCTGGGTGGCTGGGCGCTGCGGGCGGTGCAGGCCCTTTATGCGACGGTTCCCATGTGCGTGCGGGTGCCTGGTGGGTACACACCCACATTTCAGGCCACCTCAGGGGTGAAGCAGGGCTGCCCCTTGAGCCCTATATTGTTCGGTCTGTTCCTGGATGACTTCGAGTCCGGGCTGGTGCAACAGGCTGCGGCCGCGGCTCTGCCTCGCTGGCAGAGCGGGGAGTGCGTGCCGCCATTATTTTACGCTGATGACCAGGCCTTGCTGGCCACCACGCCGGCAGGCCTGCGTTTCCAGCTTGGTTACCTTGAGAGCTACTGTGCCGCCTGGGGCCTGACGGTTAACACCAAAAAGACCCAGGTGGTAGTGTACACCACTGGCGGGGCTGCTGCCACGGAGGAGCGGTTCCGCTACGGCGGCAATGAGGGGA